AACTTTGATTTCAGATAGATTAAAAATAATGTACAATTTCTAAGTTAATCTTTGTTTTATTGCAGAAATGGAATTGTAACTTGGCCAAGTGCTTTGTTGATTGTTTGGCAAGATCTCTGAATTTTGGCGCGCATGCTGCCAAATTACACCTAGAGGCAGCACTTTCCACATTTCCAGAAATATCTGCTGCAATTCTAGCGAGAGAAAATTAGCCTTCTGAAAAGCTGACTTTCATCCCCCATCAAGCAGAATTGGAAACCCTCCCTCCCCCTTTAATTCTTGTTGCTAAATTAGAATTTACTTCCGTCAGACTAAAAATCGACTTCACAAGGAGCGGCAGTTTCCTTTTCCTTCAAATTTCTACGTTTCTTTGCAATAGGGAACATTCAATACATTGTACTTGACTTGAACATGACTGAATATTGCATAGATTTTAGGCAGTTACTTTTTAAGGATGGTTTTACTGGTTTTCCTTAACATTTGACGTGTTGTACGATCCTTGTTCCTTCCACCATTCTTTGAGTAGGAATTCATTAAAGTCCCCTACAGTGTCTGTCAGATGTAAATGCCTTATTCTCCAATGTGTAAATAATGTATATATGGAACATCAGAGGTTAACTTATTCTTTGGACTTTAATGTATTCATAACTTACCACTCCCATTCCTAGCTCCACCCCTTGTATATATAAGGAGCCACCCTCACCATTCTCGTTGCTTCTACCTTGAATATTCAGTGAATATAGAATGCCTATCATAATTAAAAAGAAATATATTTAAAGCTTTAACTTCTATTATCTTTATTGAGTCTGATCCTGGAAATATTGCAACAGTGTCCTTATAGGAAGGATGAGAAAAGATTCCCCTCCCTACGGAAGACTGTTGGGGATTGTATGGCTGGGCAGATAGGGCCCAAGGACAGTGGAGTTGGAGCTATGATAAAAACTGGGTATTGCTGGCCCTTCCCACTCTGATCTTTTCCATCCCTTCTAAGTACTCCCTATTTATCCTTCCTGACTTATTCCCTTTCCTCATGGAACCTGGGAGTGCTCTTGCAAAAAAATGTGATATCCATCTGAGACTCAGAGAAGAGGGTGCCAGAGATATTTTTTCCTGCTGGCATTGAAATTGAATTAAACCATAAATCCAGTTGCCTTTGTAAAAGGAAATGAGAAGGGGGGATATTTTCTCTCTTCATTTTGGCCCCGAGTAGTGTAAACAACTGCTTTTCACCATAGGTAGCCGCAACCCAGACTCAACATTATCCTGCTCCACAGTTATGTATGTTCTGTATCAGGTTACTTTTGTGCTGATTCCATTATCAAAACTCTGAGCAGCTCACAGTGGTTAACATAATACACACAAATCATATTGATCATACTTAGTAAATAATAGCATAATGAAATCATAATCACATGAATGCACTGATTTAGTTTACAGAATTTCTTCTAAAAGGAAACATCAGGAATAATAATAATAATGTAAAATAGCTTTCTGGTTAATCAAATGCTCATTGTGAAGATCAAATTTGCTCCATAAATTGTTTGCATTGTGTGGATGAGACGCTATTTCAACACTGGGAGACTCAATCCAAGTGGATATCCAATAGTTCACAGTCCATTTACAATAAAATTATTACGTATTAACAATTGAAGTAAGATTTTGTATTGTTTATTGGCAGATTTGTTTAAAATTCCTAACACTGATGTATTGGCTGTAAGCCGAATATTGAAGATATACATATTTAATATAGTGGATCTGGGTCATTGCTTTATTTTAGCAGGGACAGTCCAATTAATAAGCTCAAAATCTATCCACGAAAATAATTAGTGTTATTATCTCTGAAAATAAGTTGTTAAACCAAAGTTTAATTCAACTTCTGTTAAGGATGAGTAATCTATTAAGGATTCCTTATTTAACAAGTGCCTGTAATGGTATGTGAGAAAGGCCTGAGATGGGACAAACAGATGCTGCCTAGGGAATGGTCAGAGAAGAGACAGCATAGCCTGCAGCTGTATAATGGACAGAACAAGAGATGCCGGAGGGACCATCCCTAGTTTCTTGGACACTAATCTAAGGGTGATGGTGGGAAAATTTACAGATTTGTAAGTTCCTGTTAATGTAACTTACAATACAGTAGAATTAGCTTTTGTGGTCCTGTTTCCTGTGTGGTCTCTCTGTAAGGTTGACAGTGGCTATATTTTGGCTTCTTCTGTGTGTGTGCATGTGCATATGCATATATTTAGCTGCTTCTCTGAGAGCCAACCAGTAACATTTTAATTTTAGGAAGCAAGCCAATTTGAAGATAGCATATGACAAAATATTGCCATAAATTTAATGGTTTCTCTTCTGTCATGAACTAGAAGAAAAACAAATTAAGAGACATAGGTTGTCAGTATATCTTATTTCCTGCTGATGCAGCCTTTTAATTGGTAAGTTATTGACCTCTGAAAAATTGAAGTACGTAATGAAATACTGACACATTGTAAATTAAGCATGTTGCTTAGGTAGTGTAGATTGTAATTATGGGGACATAAATATTCTTCAGCCATTCCTTTGCAAGAGCAGATGCAAGCTACCTGAAACCGTTGTATGTCGTGGAATTAACTACTGAGAGGAGTGACATATCCCTGAATTTTGGTTGTTTTGACACTGTGCATTCTCCAAGTTATTAAAGGTAAATGCTGTCTTTATTTATTTCCTTGACATTTGTGCTTCATGCAAAAAGGAAAACATGTTCGTTAGTGCTCCTGTTTAAATTATATATGTTTATATCAATAAAAAGAGCCACCCCTGAAAAATATAGGCAGAGTGCGGTCTTTCTTAAACATTCCAATTTTCTCACAACAATGCTGTTGTTCTGCTGTTATGATCAGAGAAAAGGACACCTAGATTGGATCCCCTCTACGAGATCACTCTCCAGTGATGGATGGGTCTTTTGATCCACTATACAGTGTCTGAGATATGATCCCAATTACCAAAGGGCTGCAGCAGCTTATTTATCAAATATTAAAACTAGTACAATGCAGTGGTCATGACTTGTATAAAAATATCATTGTTCTTTCATCTTCCTCTCTATACAATCCCATTTTAGGTTTCTAAGCTTTCCATTCAGCTTTTAACGACTTTGCTCATCTTAAGAGTTCACCACTAATGCACAGTAGCTAAATTGATTTCTTTTCGGTTTTCATTAAAAGAAATTTCCAACCTTCGAGTAATTTCTGTCCCCATCATCAGGAGCTTATTCCAACATGTCTGCAGTGTATGCACTTAACTATGTATTTCCACAAAGTTTATACCCCAAAACTAACATTATTAATGTAGAAATTGTGCTAGGACTGCTGTAGACTGTTAGAGAGTTGGGCTTGAATAGTAATTGATTTTTAGTGGTTATATATTGCTCAATAATGTGTAATCCGGGATAATTTACATAGTTGAAGACATACACAGGAATTCCTATCTTCCATTAATACATTCATTGATTGTATTGATCATTGATTTTTGTTTAATTTATTGAAAAATGAACTTGAAATGAACACGAACCATGAAATGAACATACAAACAGAATAGGAAATTCCGAATATATCTGGAAATTATTTTAATTATTAAATAAATTATTTCCAGGATAATATATGTAACGATATTTTATGTAATAAACCATGTATTTGTTTTTATTTTTATTTATGCATTTTATTATTTAGTTTTCTACATTTACAGTTGTTTCTTCTTCATGGAAAAATATATTGATTTCTTTGAACAGTTTATTTCAATATTATTACAGAAAAGAAAGGTAAGTTATATAAATATTACTTAAAAAAGAAACAATTCTTTTCTCATATAACGCAATGAACATAAACAAAATTCTAGAGCAAGTGGTTTTGTACAAATGTATCGTCTTTTCCATGTAAGAAATGTGTTTCTATTGAACATTCAAGTAATCAAGAATTTAAGTCAGCTTTCATACAAAACTTCTGTTAGCTATGCTGTTTTACTCCAATACTTAATGTTGCAACATTCTTTGCTGCTTTTGGAGATAATGTTATGAAAAAGGCAAAGTGTTAAAGGAAGGTCAGAGCAGGAAAAAGAGAGCAAAAGGGCTAATAGGCTTTAAATATTCTGAATCAAGCATTTCCTCTTGTTATAGATCTCTCCCAGACTTTTCACAGAAGAGGCCATGCCTTGAATTTGACCGAGAACCCTGTATGTAAAATGTAAGCTATTTCAGAAGGCTTGGACTTCTGCCATCAATGCCTAAACAGCTGATCAAAGAGACTAATATTTTGATAGTGCTTCAAGTGTTGGCAATAACCAACCCATGCATTTTATTTGTCTTTATTTATACCCATATTTAAAAAATGTAAACTAAACTGATATCTTTTCAGTGAAGAGCTGAAGAAGTGACATACCTATATTTATTTTATATATATATTATTCTGCACTTCAGTGAAAAAAGTGATCATGACTTTTGCTGTTCGGTCAAAACTATTAACAGTAGTCCTTTCCCACTAAAATTTGTCTCTACCTTTCCCGCAATCTTTCAAAAAATGCTCCACATATAGAATATGACTCATGCAAAGAAATATTGCAAAGGCAAAGCCCTGCAAAGAATAAATTAAGAAAGCAAATATTTGTTTATATCAAATTCTTATTTTAAGGATACTTAAAAAAAAAAAAACCTTCCCTGGTTGGCTATTTTAAAGCTGGATTCAAATTAATTTTTTTTAAATAAGAGTGGATGGATATAATTGCTCTTGCGTGGGTGATTATTTTTCTTTGTAACTCCCTTCGGTATTTCAGACCATGTATATTTCTAATTAATGCATAAAGACACATCAGGATCCATTTCTTTTTCCTTCTTCCTTTCCCCCTGTATTGTCCCTTGCTTCCCAAAGTTTAGGTCCCCTGGGACAACTTTTGAGGATGTAACAAAAGCTATTCTGAGGGGAATTCTCCCCATTCCAGTTCCACCAGGAGCAAATACTTTCATTAATGGACACAGATGGTTGCTTTCACCTGCATAATTTAATAGGCCACCGAACTGTGGCAGAGTGGGCAGAAGTTATAGTTGCTGATTTCTTGAGCTTGGACACAGTGCTTACATTTATTGCACATCCAAAACTGATATTCTGTGATGGGCCTTCCTGTAGCAACACATGTTGGAAGCTTTCCTTCTCCTCTATAAAACACAAGGAAGAAAAACAGTATCATAAGATGTCAATGTTAATAGAACTATATTAGCCATCCATTCAAATTTAAGATTACAAATATGGATTACAAACATTTCATCAATATGCAACAAATATGACTGGTTAAAAAAAGAAGAAGCTTGAATCGCAATACAATTATTTTTAAAATAATTGCAGTGTCAAGGTAAGACGAATGCCCACAAAATGAGTATTATTCCTAGATTAATTTATCTTCTGAGAGGAATTCCCATTTATATATGTGACAAATATTTCCAGGAAATAAATTCTTTGTTTAGAAAATTACTATGGGGTTCTTCAATTCTGAGAATATCTTTACAGAAAGTGCAATTACGAATGAATGAGGATTTGGTTTTCCAAATGTGGAGCTGTATCATATGTTTATCTATTGTCAAGCATTAAATAATGGAAGCCAACAATTAGTGTTAATTTTCCGAATAGGGCAACGTTAGGATATACATACATAGCACTTTTGATTGGATGTTTGGGGGAAATTAGTGGACTGTATAAATGTGATTGTGGGACAAAAGCTAAAATTTTCAGATGATAATGTTCTTTTGAACTGCATACCTAGTACTTGGAATTTAATAACTGGACAACTTAAATGGATTTTCCATGCCCTTACAATGGCCAAATGACCAATATTGCAGTATTGGAAAAGTAAATATATGACCCTTTTACTCCATGGATTGTGGACTTAACTACCACCTATAAATGGACTGCCTAGATGTAGACTTCTATGAAGTATAATAAAACATAGAACCCATTTATACAAAATATAGTAAACTAAAAGAGCAGGTATTAGAAATATATGTATAAGTACTTGAATAATTGCATTAAATTATATATAGAATTGTAACTATTTACAACTAAATAAAATGATATATTGTATTTTTTCCTTTGTTGTATTTTACTTCACTATAAAAATATGTATGCATTTTTATTTTTGCATTTTGTTCTTTTTTTCATTTTTTTCCCATCACTATTTCAAAAATGAAAGAATACATTAAAAATGAGATGTGCAGATAGTCCTCATTTAATAACCATAATTGGGGCTGGCACCTCAATCAGTAAGGGAAGCGATTACTAAGTGAAACTCAAACTGTGTTTATGAACTTACTTCAGTTTCCCTTTGCTTTACAGACCTGCAAAGGTTGTAAACGAAAGGATTGGGTCTCAAAGTTACTTTTTCATCCCTGTCATAACTGTGAATTGTTGCTAAATGAGGACCAACTTATATAAAGAACACTTTTCAACACTGTATGAAGGCTTTTGCAAAGGGAGAATCCTCTTCTCTCCCTTCTCCTATGTTTTTCTCCCTTAATCCAAATAGACTTTGGGAACACACAGAACTTCTGAAGGAAAGGGAATATGTATCACCTACAATATTTCTTTCTGTTGCACCACTGATTTCCATCAAACTCAGAATATTGTATTGTAATTACAAGAAAGAGCACCATGCTTACTCTTCAAGAAGACCATCCAAGTCTGACTTTTTGCTATCTTTAGGATAGTGTTTTGTGAATATTTGCAGGGCAAGCTCTTCATATTGTTGCTTCTGGTCTGGATTAAGATTTTCTAAAGATTCCAGTTTAACGAAGGCTTTTGAACAGGTCCCAAATGCTCTGTTAGCACACGCACAAAGAGCCAATAGGGAATAGATTTCTACTGCAGGAATAATGTCTTCGTAATCCCTCAAGTGAAGAGCTGTTAATGTAGAAAGCAATAGATTCAGAACATATCCACCTATTAAATTAAATAAGCAGTTTTGTTACATAAGTACTCCTATGTTAATGCATTGAAACCATTGGCTGGCACCCAATTGTTGTGATCCACAGTATGAAGTGGCTTAATACAAGCAACAAGAAAGATCTGCGTAGAAGAGAACTCTTAAGATCTATACTAAATCCCAAAACTGGAAGAAATATGTTCAACATCCAGAATACAATTGTTGACTACTTAAGTAGTCAATAGCCGTAAATGATTCAGGCTAGGAGTTTTAGATCTTTAGTGATTTTAGTAGGGGTTTTTTTTGAGGAAAGAATTTCTCCAGATATACAGAATAGCAACATAGAAAACATTTGCTTAAGGACTGCATATGTAACGCAAAATTTTCCCCATGAATCCAAAGCGAAAAAGAAAGACGTCATTGTACCTGTTTTCATTGCTGTATCCACATAACCTTCATACAGCTGCCTTTGGGCAAGTATGAAAAAATGGTAAGCCTCAGCTCCTCGCCAAGCATTATCGATCAGGCGACTGTCTGTGGAAAGAACATCTTCTTCTAGCAAGCCAGCTAGGGCTGAAGTAGCCTGGCATAAAAGATGTAATAAACGAAAGTAAACAAGCGATAGCATGCCTATTATTTACATTAAAGTTAGCGTGCATTTCATGCATTGTAATAATGCAATTCATGATATATAACAATGTTAGGTTGTACGGCAGCAAAGTATAAACAGGAAAAGCTTTTAAAGGGAAGTAAGCCCATGCTTATATCTTAAATTACACATTCATCATAAAAAACAAACATAATTAGCAATAGCAATAGCACTTAGACTTAAATACCGCTTCACAGTGCTGTACAGCCCTCTCTAGGCAGTTTAGAGAGTCAGCATATTGCCTCCAACAATCTGGGTCCTCATTTTACCCACCTCGGGAAGATGGAAGGCTGAGTCAACCTGCAGCTGGTGAGAATCAAACTGCCAAACTGCTGTCAGTCAGCAGAAGTAGCCTGCACTGTAACCACTGTGCCACTACAGCTCTTTACTTGGGTCCGATGCACAGAATCTATTCATTTCAGAAGGGGGAGGCCACATTCTATACAATCAAATGTCAATAAAAGGGAACAAGAAGCTGTTTCACCCAAGGTTTTCCTCCTACTAATTAGAATTTTTCTTAAGGGAGAAGTGTCATTAGACGTTCCACGATTTCCCTTTTTTTTATGGAAGATGTAAACAAAGGAAAACTGCATGAGGAGCAGCAGTGGCTTCTGCAAGATGGTGAGCATGGAGTAAGTGTTTTGATTGTGCATCAATTATCACAAACATGCAAAAAAGGGACAGGGCATGGTCCGTAATGTTGTGTCCACCATCTTGCAGATTCTCACTCCAAAATGCTTATGGTGAGGAATCTATCCTATTTTGACATATAACTTTGACTTGATGCATTTGTAAAACCATTTTTCCAAAGGGTGTTCTAAATATTTTTGGATAATATTGATAGGAAATGTGAGTTGTCATGTATGGAAATACTCCACAGCTCTATTCTGATAGGTGTTCCTTGCACTCACACCAGAGATGATGAAGTTTTCTGAAATATTACCTCTGAAGTCTTTCCTTTGACTTTTTCTCTGTGCGAATTTTTTATTTGTTCATGGTATTGTTCAACAAGTAAAGCCGACATGACATATAGCTTTTTAACCCGTAAAGGTTTGGTTCTCTTTCTAGCCTCTTCATCTGCAACCTTTAAAAAGGCAAACATTACAAATTAGATTTATTTTCTAGTTACAGTGCCATATGTACAACTAAGACTATGGAAGTATTTTGCACAGTAAATATCTGAAAGTATCCTACGCAGACATTTGTGAAAAACTGACAATACTCCAAACTGTTTTCCTCTTAACAATTTTCTCTCTTGCCTGGAAGCAAAAGATTGCTTAATAAGTCTTTTTTGCATTCTTCTTAAGCTGAATATGACCCATAACAAACACTGTTGCAGAATGGAAAAATAGGCATAATATGGGTGTCTTTGGACAGAGTAAAAAACATCTGTACTTTTTTTTTTAGTTAGGAGCCAAATGTTAATTTGTATATAAAAAGTAAATTGAATCAAGTTTAATATCACAGGCATACAACGTTAAAGGTATATTCATAAACCTTCATCCAAAAAACTGTCAAAAATACCACACATGGTTAGTCTTCATGCTCATGGCCTGGTGACTCAGAAAAATATAGAAAAAAACAAGCTGTAAAAGCAGCTTCTAATTTAATAAAACTATTGCTGAACAAACCGATAGATGCTAATGATATGCACCAAATCTCTTTTAAGCCTGTAAAGGCTTTAATAGATAAAATATATACCCTGTTTCCCCGAAAATAAGACATCCCCTGATAATAAGTCTAATCGGGCTTTTGAGCACATGTGCTAAAATAAGCCTCCCCCCGAATATAAGCCCTCTCTGAAAATATTTAAATGCAGAGTTGGAAATCAGGTAAGACGGCAAGAAGAGCCCCAACTTGCTCCACGTGCCCCAAAATAATAAGATCTCCCTGAAAATAAGGCCAAGCGCTTATTTCGGGGTTCAAAAAAAATATAAGACAGGGTTTTATTTTCGGGGAAACACAGGTAGTAAGACTAATAATAAAAGCATCAATGGCAAATTGAAAAATCTACCATGAATAAAAACTGTTAATTTCTTAAATAGTTAAAATCAAGCTATGCTCCATAATACACTTTTCTATCTGCCAAAACCTGCCCTAAATGTTCTGCAGCAGAAAAAGAAGAATCTATTCCATGAGATATTTTTAAAACATCACTGTTTACTCCATTTCTCTCTTTTTTGTCCAGATATCCCTTAACGATAGTACCTTGAACATAAGTTTCGCAGCATCAAAGAAATAATTGGCTTTACGATATAGTTCAACGGCATCAAGAGGTTTATTCTTTTCCAATAACTGAGACGCATATCTAGCAAGAAGAGAACCAATCTCTTTCATGTTGTGTTCCTTAGCTAGTTCAACAGCTTTACTCCACTAGAAGAAAAAGCAACAACCATTAATCAATGCAAATCTAAATTTAGGAACAAGTCTTAAATAAATGTACTCTTTTATCAGAGAAAGTAATCTAGGGGACTTTAGGATTACTAGGTCATGGGTACATTTCATTTTGTAGGGATATATTAGGGCTGCAATCTTGTGGCACAGTTCTCAGAATTGTGGGAAAGTAAGGCTAAATAAACATGTTCTATGGAATAGCGCTTAAGAGTTATATTCACAGTACTGTATAGCCCTCTCTAAGCAGATTACAGAGTCAGCCTACTGCCCCCAACAATCCAGGTCCTCATTTTACCCACTTCGGAAGAATGGAAGGCTGAGTCAACCTATAAGACTTAAAATTATTGTTATGTCCTTTTATATGCTTCTTAAGATAATTAGATGTCATGGAATTACAAGATTTACTAAATGGTATTTTAAATGGAAAAATCTGCCTTTTGTGATAAGGTGACAGTTTAAGTAGCATATAGGTAGTCCTCGATTTAACAACCATTTGGAGTTACGACAGCCTTGAAAAGGGTGCTTTGCGACTGTAAAGCACTTCCAGCCATCATAAAAAATCACACACACACACACACACAGTCACATCATCACATTTTGGGTACTTGGCAGCTGGCTCACATTTATGACTGGAGTCCCATAGTCACATGACCATAATTTGTAAAGTTTTTTGCTGGTTTCTGACAAAAAAGTGCCCATCTGAGAGAATGGATTCAGACTTACTGTGTGATTTGCTTAACAACCATTATAAGAACAGCTGTAAAATTGGCCCCGATGATGTGGCTCCCTCCACTTATGACTATCACAATTTATGACTGAAATTCCAGAGTTGCAGTCCCATTATGACTGCAAATCTCAGTTGCAGTCATAATTTGAGGACTGTAATTCACTATTTGTATCACTAGAGCTAAAACTGAGTTTTTAATTTAAAACCTCAAAAATAACAATTGAAATCATAGAAAGATGGATGATGGTGAAAACGAAATTTTGCAGGCCTTAGTGTTATCTGAGTTTGTTACATGGACTCCATTACTAAACCATGAGCTACAGATATTCTCTTCTATTGAAATTAAGTTTATTGTACATTTATTATTGGATTAGAGAAAACACGATAAACAGAATAGGCTTTTATTACAGAATGTTTTGTGAGAATATAGACTGGTAGTTCCTTACTGACTGATTAAGAGTACTATAGTATACTACTGCACTACTCTTATACATGTGGAAAGCCTAAGGAATGGCTCAACTTGGAGCAGAAAATAAGACAAATATGTGTGATATTTCTTCAATAGTTAAATGCATTTATGTATAAATGTTTAATAAATGATTATGGTAATATTAAAGATATATTTGTCAGGGACATGAATATACATATTGAATGCAAATAATGCCATGTTGTTAGTCAAATGTTAGATGCAATGAAGAGTATAGATTTGAAAATTAACTTTTAGTCTGACAGGAAAATGGAGTGACCAATTATAAAACATTTGTTGTTGTTAGTTGCGAAGTCGTGTCCAACCCATTGCAACCCCATGGACAACGTTCCTCCAGGCCTTCCTGTCCTCTACCATCCTCTGGAGTCCATTTAAGCTCACGCCTACTGCTTCAGGGACTCCATCCAGCCACCTCATTCTCTGGCATCCCCTTCTTCTTTTGCCTTCAATCTTTCCTAGCATTAAGCTCTTCTCTAGTGAGTTCTTCCTTCTCATTAGGTGACCAAAGTATTTGAGTTTCATCTTCAGGATCTGGCCTTCTAAAGAGCAGTCAGGATTGATCTCCTTCCTCTAGGACTGACTGGTTTGATTGCCTTGCAGTCCAAGGAACTCGCAGGAGTCTTCTCCAGCACCATAGTTCAAAGGTCTCAATTCTTTGGCGCTCAGCCTTTCTTATAGTCCAACTTTCACAGCCATATATTGCAACTGGAAAAACCATAGCCTTGACTATACACACTTTTGTTGGCAGGATGATGTCTCTGCTTTTTAGTAAATTATCTAGATTTGCCATAGTTTTCCTCCCCAGGAGCAAGCATCTTTTAATTTCTTTGCTGCAGTCCCCTTCTGTGGTGATCTTGGAGCCCAGGAAAATAAAATCTGTCACTACCTCCATTTCTTCCCCATCTATTTGCTAGGAATTGAGACGGCCGGATGCCATGATGTGAGTTTTCTTAATGTTGAATTTCAAGCCAACTTTTGCACTCTCCTTCTTCACCCACATCAAGAGGCTCTTTAGTTCCTCTTCACTTTCTGCCATTAGAGTAGTATCATCTGTGTATCTGAGGTTGTTGATATTTCTCCTGGCAATCTTAATTCCAAGTTTTGATTCATCTAGTTCCGCCTTTCTCATTATGTGCTCTGCATATAAGTAGGCAGGGCGACAATATACAGCCTTGCCGGACTCCTTTCCCAATTTTGAACCAATCAGTTGTTCCATGTCCAATTCTCACTGTTGCTTCTTGACCTGCATACAGGTTTCTCGAGAGACAAATAAGATGGTCTGGTACTCCCATCTCTTTAAGAACTTGCCACAATTTGTTGTGATCCATACAATCAAAGGCTTTAGCCCAGTGGTGAAATCCAATTTTTTTTACTACCGGTTCTGTGGGCATGGCTTTGTGGGTGTGGTGTGGCTTTGTGGGTGTAGCAGAGGAAGGATACTGCAAAATCTCCATTCCCACCCCACTCTGGAGCTAGCCAGAGGTGGTATTTGCCGATTCTTCGAACTACTCAAAATTTCCGCTACTGGTTCTCCAGAACCTGTCAGAACCTGCTAGATTTCACCCCTGCTTTAGCCTTTATAAAACATATCAATGGCAAAAATAGAGGATAGGTAGTCCCCGGATTACAACAGCAATTGGGACTGCAATTGCTAAATAAACTGGCCATAAAGCACAATGCCACATGACTATTGTTTAGTGATAGCAGTTCTTGCAGTTCCAATTGTTGTCATTAGGTAAGGAATACACATGACCATGACTTCCAACTTCCTGCTGGTTTCACCACTGAATTTGCTTGTGGGAAGTTGGAATGATGGAAATTGACACTCAGCTTTTAATCATGTCGTAGGGATGCTACGGCAACCAGAACTTTGAGGACTAGTAAATCTCCCTAGTTGAACACCATCATAATTTTGAACAGTTGCTGAGCGAATGGAAATAATCCAAGGATCACCTGTACATGAATTAATTTGTGTACTTTAGCAGAATGTTTACTAAATGCCTGTAGAAAGAATGTTTATCAGAAGGAGGGGAAAAGGTTGTGCGTAACAGCCTGCTTCTCTCCATTGTTTTATGTGAAAATCAGAATTTGGTAAGGTAGGAAAAACGTAACAGTAAGTAGTGAAAGTAGTGACTGTGGGGTGCATCACAACTGTGTGTTATAAAACAAAAGAGAATAGTGGGTGTAATAAACTTGAGGAAAACAGACCCAGAGTGAAAGAGAGTGTCTATTGTGTGTGGTGTGTGTGTGTGTGAGAGAGAGAGAGGCGGGGGGGGGGGGGGAGAGAAAGAGAGTCCCCAGTACAAAACAAATACATTAAGATGGTCTAGCATATAGCGAGAATGAAGGAAGATTGAATTACAAAATAAATATACAGAGGAGAGAATGAGTTGAAAGGAAATGAAAAAGCAACACAGCTATGGTTGGATAAAGTAATTGAGATTCTCAAAAGGAGAGAAATGGGCTGCTTGAAGAAGTTTAATAATAATAAAATGCCCATGAGAATCAATATATACTTGTGTTGCTACTGCATTAATCTCTTTCCTAACTAACAATGTAATTCCAGCTACAGCTGTAATCACCATTTTTTAATATTTGTCTATTCATCTACCATTATAGTATATGCTGTAGTACTTACTTTTGAAGGTAATATTTTTTGTCATACAGGAAAGCAGGGATATAGTTGATACAATAATTAAATTTCAACTGTTTTGTCATTTAGGGAGATTAAGAGTTTTTAAGAGGTGAAATTGGTTCTTTAAACATTCTGTCCCTTAGCATTCACCACCAAACTTGGGGGGGGGAGCCCAAGTTTAGGGTTACTTAGACAGCAAAATGGGTCCTTTTTCCTTTATATTCTTCCAACCTCCACAAAAATGGGTTGATCAAATATTTTGTTCCCACTGATTCAGATGGTGTTTTTGAGACTGCAAATGGGATGGAGGCACGAGGTTGCATATCCATGGATTACCCTTCCCTAGTTTAGCTGCAGTATCTTTTCTCCTTACCCACAACAACATATTTTAAACAAGTAGCCAAACTATGTGAGACAAAAGATACCTAGATTGGACCTCCATTATGTTTCTAAAATTAGTTGTGCAAGAACTTTTGAATGGAACCATGGAAGAGAATTAATTTCCACCAGTGTTAATTGTTCGAGAATCTGTGTATTCACCTGAAAAATAGATGGAGTATATGTTTGATATTTGGGGATTGGCCCATGAAAAAAATCTATTAAGCTTCTCAAACTGGTCCCCGTGTTTCCAAACATGCTTTTAGACAGTAAGAGAACTGATTATATATTTCTCATGTCATTTCTGATTTGGCCATTAGAGACACAGAATATGAAGACACATAAATCCCTAGGTTGTTATATTCTCTTATATATTCAATCTCTTATCTGCCAGTTGAAGCTGCAAGGGAAGCTTTGTTGAAATCAACCATTAAATTAATATGGACAAGCTCCCCCAAACAATGTCTCCTATATTATACTTATATTTTTACCTGGTTGAGATTTACACAGACATCCACTGCATCCTTTGGTCTGTTACATTTCAGAAAGGCAGCGACAGCTTGTTCACACATTCCCACAGTAACAAATTTATGGCTTATATCCTAAAAGATATGGAAAGGTATTGTTACATTCTAGAAGAGTAGCATCATCTGATATCAAAACTCCTTAATTTCTAACAAATTGAATGTGGCAGGTGCCAGCAAAGAAACTCATTTGGGATGAAAGAAATACAAAATGTGATATTCTAGTAACCAAGATTAATCAGGGGAATAATTATTTCCATCGTTTCTGGTATTTTATTCTTTATATTTTTGATATACTTATAGAAGTATATCAAGTTAACATAAATATATCAAGTTTTATAAATTTAAAGTATAACCTGTGCTGTTTTGCTTTTGCTTTATTATGTACAGAGAGCAATTTCATAACCACAGCCCCTTTGGGTATTCGATCTTAAAAATGTGTTAAGAGTATGACTGATGTTATTTTTGTTCTGAAGGTCATATATGACAAAAAATTGTCAGAATATTCATGAACTGGAATGGAGACATGGCAACAAGGTCAGCCAATGAATAGGCATAGCAACTAAGTCAGCCAATGGGGACTGTTTAGAAACAGAAACTTAAGTACGAAGTCTGGGCGTGGCTGCTGCTTTAAGCTCTGCAGTTTAAGCTCTGAGTCTGATTCTGTGCTGAGAACTAAACAAGTCTGGGCTTGTGTGCTCTGAACTCTGAACTGAAACTAGTCTGCTCTGCTCTGCTTGTGTTTTGCTTGTAACTGCTACCAGGTTGAAAGAAATCTGCTGTTGATATTGTAAATTGACTTCATGTATTATTATGTATATAAAGAAGTTAATGAATCCTGCTGCATCAGTCTGCCTGTGTGTGCTTTCTGGATTTGATTTTTGCAACAAACTCTGACAACAATATTGTTTTTAAGTTTTATTGGATAGCATTATATTTTTTATTAGATTTCCCTTTCAACATGAGGAACAACCTGGTTTTTAAACTTTCCATTTATTTCTTCAGTATTGTTACCCTCAGTAGAATCAGGCTACTGGTAGGAGAAGTAAGGATTTATTTTTTTAGATAAAAAATCTTGCTCAAATCAATAAAATACAAAATATAGTCCTAAGCATATGTAACCAGAAACAATTCTCCCAGAACTTCACAATAGCATTTAGACTTATATATCGCTTCCCAGTGCTTTATAGTCCTCTCTAAGCGGTTTACAGAGACAGCATATTGCCCCCCAACAATTTGGGTCCTCATTTAATTGACCTTGGAAGTATGGAAGGCTGAGTCAACCTTAAGCCTGTCAGGATTGAACTTCTAGCTATGGTAGAATTAGCTTGCAATACTTCATTCTAACCACTGAGCTATTATGGCTCTTAATCGATTTCATTCAAGATAAGCAGTTTACAATAACTAATCCCAAGAAGCTGGTTTTTATACTCACTGGAAGCAACTTGTTATTTTCCGGAAGGGAGTTAGCCAAATTTTCTAATGCTTGATAGTCTTCCAGCATATAATAACATTCAGCTAAACGCTCATGGTTTCTACCTTGTACAAAGTAGGGAACTGCATTTGCCCTACAATGGTGAAAAAAAAAAGGGAAAAGACTGATGGTTTGTGAATATTGTTAAATGTATAATGAATACTCAAGGTGTAATCAAGCAAAGGCATGATTTCAGAAAAAAATGTCCACTTATTTATAATTCTGTAACAGAATTTTAACAGATTTTGCACTAGAGTCATTTTATACTTCAGTTTCTCAAAAGAAAAATGCTCTATTTTCCTGCAAACAATTTAATTAAAATTACAATCAGAGAAATACGTGGAACTATTCCATTTTGGCTTTGCAAAACCAAAAAAGTCAGTCGCAATCACAATTGGTTACAACTGGAAGTTACAAGCATACCATTTCTGTCTATCAGCGAAGTACTCTCCAATTTCATTGTGTGCCTGTTCAAGGAGGCTATCGTCTCCATGGCCTGAGCCTGTTTGCAACAGCTGCACTACTCGAAACCCATTGCCTAGTTTCATTCGTAAGTCAACTGCAAGATCTCTGTAAATGTGACAAGTAGACAACTTTAGCAAAACAAAACCAATGCCATTTATTCTTAGTTGTAGCCATTAGGACATTAGCTGTTAGGGCATCAGACTAGAAATCAGGAGACCGTGAATTCTAGTCCCACCTTAGGCACAAAGCTTGTTGCGTGACCTTGGGCCAGTCACTTTCTTTCAGCCCTAAGGAGGAGGCAAGGGCAAACAACTTCTGAAAAACCTTGTCAAGAAAATTTCAGCGACTTGTCTAGGCAGTTTCCAAGAATCAGACAGGACTGAATGGGGAAAAAAGGGTAGCAAATGAAGACAGTATTGTTTTAAATCTCATCTCAGTGGACAATCAAGATCTCATCTCCTTTGCTTTGGCATCATTTGCAGTAACAATGGTCTGTTTTACATAAACCAGCTTTAGAAATTATTGGATCATGATCAGAAATGCTCTGAATTTTGTGAAGCTATGTCAAAGCTATGCAAAATATTCAGTTTTAATAACAAAGATGATAATCAATGGGTGGCGGGGAGGGGGTAAGTGACAATAGCAGCGTTCATGTTGTTGTACCACAACTCCATCTGTTCTATACATGAGTCAAAATGTCACACACATGTACAAAAGGGGCAGAGCCTGAAGGGAGAAACAACACAAAGCTGCTTTTGTTATTTAGACATCTCTGGACACCTCTGAAAACAACTTCATGTCAAGCAAATAATTTGAATGCTGCAAATTTAAATTGGCCATTTTGACCTTTCTGTAATCCTTCTTCATGCTTCATGTTCTTGTTAGTCTTTCTAAGGAGTCCAGTTTGGGAAATGTAATTTATGTATGCACTCACACTTTAAAATTAATCAGTTTAAAAGCATGTCTTCTCTCCATCAAATGCTATTATATACTTGGGATTTTTTTTTTACTCTTAATTAAATTTATCTAGAGCAATTACCTTCTATCCATGTCCAAATACATTCTTTCAGCTTCTTCAAATTTTCCAAAATAAACTGCCACTTCAGCTTGCCTAAGTGCTTCACTCTGGAGATTGTGAAGGCGTTTTACAAACTTAATACCCTGGTAATTTTTATAACGTACAAAAGCTTGCTCAGCAGTGTGAAGATCAAGTTTCTGGAGAGCTGTTTCAGCCAGTAGACGCCTGTATAAAGTACACATATTTTATATCTACATAGATATCACCTTTATTTGGAATACAGATAGTCCTTGACTTATGAACATTTGTTCAGTGACTGTTCAAAGTTATGATGGTGCTGAACAAAAAGATTTATGAACCAGTCCCCAACCTTATGGCCATTAGAATGCCCCATTGTCATGTGATTAAATCTGGGCACTTGGCAATGCATTCACACTTACAACCATTTGGTAAATGCCCCGTGACAATCTTTCGCAAACTTCTCTGCTGGCTTCCCCAGGAAGTCAATAGGAAAGGTGACAGGGAAGAGCACAAGCCACTGCCACTTTCTAAAATGATCCCTCCTATCTTTAGGGACTAGCTACCATTATGAATCATTATACTGATAATACATAAACACTTTAGGGGGAAAAAATGGAAATAGATTTTTACCAAAGTCTTGGATGTGAATTTTCTTCAATGAACTGAGAAGATTCTGCAATCCCTGCCTCTTTAACAATTGCCTGTGCATCTCGTAGTGATCTAGTATCAAAATGTATTATGCAGTCCTTATTAGGGTGTTCAGGATTCTATTTAAGTAGAAAAAAAAACTCTTACTCATTTCCAATCAAGCTATTGTTTTGCCTCTGGCATTTTCTTTTATTAAAAACATTTTTTTAAATTTACCTTTAATATTTCATCCAATAAAACAGATTTGATTTCTAAATCTTCAAAGTTGCAAATATATCCAGAAGTTTGAATGGGCTCCTTGGAATACATAAAAGTAATTAATGGTAAAAGAAAAACTTAAATGCATTTTGGAAGTGCATTTTTACCCATGCTATTATAGTTTCTACACATGCAATTACAATTCTCAAGGGGTTGAACACCATAGGTACAACCCCCCTCCCCAAATACTTGAAACTTTTAAATCAATGACTAAAGGAGAGTGAGAATAAAAAGTATCAATTAAAACAGATATGACTGTAATTGTTCTGAAGGGTAATCAAAGATGATTTCAAACCCTCAGAGAAATAATCTTTATATTTTACTTGTAACCTTCTAAAATGATAACCTATCTTTAAAGTTAAACCATGCTAAATCAAATGTTGCTATTGTTCTGGATTTTTATGCCCAATAAATAAATGTTTAATTCAATTATCACTTTATAAATGGTTAGATGGAGGGGCAAGGAAGTAGTGGTAGTGGCAAAAATCAAAAGAGGAACAACTCTTTGAAAATGATTATTCAAGGAACTTTTAGCCCACTTAAATGATCTTTACTTATTTTCTTTCTGAAATTTAAAGAGGCGGTGATGATAGCGATCACAATTAAATTAATATTTTTTTCATTATTGTTAATTACTCTACCTCAGGATCCAGGTTTCTAAACACATACATCCTTGTTTTCTCCATCATGGCAAACAAATCTGGATTATCTTTGGCCCATTTCATATCCCAGACATCTCTGCGTTCCAATTTGAGTTGCTCACCGACTCCTTGGCATCCTGAACCATCAGTTACTCGTGTATCCAAGTCAAAGAAAGTCAGCAATCCTAACATGTCTATGATAGCTAGACGACTACAAACATAACACATACAGAGGGAAAAAATACTTTTGATTAATATTTCAGTGTTAAATTAAAAACAAACATTTTATTTGGATAACTCTTCAGCAAAAACAAAAAGAATTTTAAACTGAAGTTTGCTCTGTAATACAAATATAGAGAATAGGAATATTTGTTTAAACAAAATTTGACATTCCCATTATAGTTGTTCTTTACTTCTTTTAAAATCTTGTTTTCAGTATAATACATTATCTACAATCCTTCAAGACCCATTTAACTGATTTATAAGAACTGTAACTAAAAAATTGAGAATCACTTTAATAACAAATCTTTTCTTACCTAGACTTGCAATTCAAAGACATTTGGTAGGGCCGACAGTTTAGGATATATTTTCTAATTAAACCAACATTGGGCAGCCTGTAACTCTGAATGGTGCCAGATTCTCTTCCCTAGGCAAAAATAAATAGTGAGGCACTATGAAGCAAAACAGTTCCTCATTAGAGGCACTTATGTCATTTAATAAATGTTTGCTACATTTCAGAAAAATTTCTGTATTAATATTCTGATTAAATTAATAACTGGCATGCATATGTTAGCCTAACAAACTGACATGGAAGATCTTTTTGCCTGCGCATCTACCATTCCTCCCTTCAAAACATATAATGATTATAGCGGCTTTTTTTAGTCATAATTAAAAAAATACTGTTATTACATTTGGTATAAGCCTGATTCTTAAACTACAAAATGCAAAATACTTATGCAGATTTTCTCCCTGAAATGGATTATTGTGTTTCACTCCTAAATTTTGTCTGTCAATTTATCTATATACAAATGATGCATAGCTCTAATTCTACATTTCTTAACTGTTATTTTAATTATCATCCAGAAAAATATTTAATGTGTAAAATTCTTCATGTATGTGGTTGCATTGTACTTTTATGTAAAATATTGTAATCCCTGCTGGGGTTAGGCTGAAACACTTGGCCTTCAATTTTCCAATAAACTAATTAGAATATTGTTAAAGTACTAAGTACTATACTCTGTGTGTGCATTGTTGCAGCTTACTTTTCATTATAATTTTTCTCTATTCTTACAATTTTTCTCTATTCCTACAATTCTGTTTGTACAATATATAAATTGTACAATATATGTACAATATATAAATTCAAATCCATCATGACCAGATACACTATTTACTTTTAAACTAATTTTACTCTTCTCAACTGCTTTAAGAACCGTTATATTTGAAAAGCAAAGAACAAATATTGTAAAATAAAGCAAAATTACTTTTCTATTACTTACAATAACCAGTGTCTTATCCGATGCAGTTATTGCACAAATAGGATCCCTTGTTCCCTGAAACCATATAAATAATAACAGTGTAACAGGCAAAATCAACTTATTTCTCTAGAACAAGATGCAAAGCAAGCCACTGGATAGGTGAAATAACATTAAGAAATGTTGCTGAGCTATAACACAGAACATGTCTGTTTAAATAAGAAAGGTGACTTCATTTTTAAGATGGAAATAGCAATCCATAAACAAACTTGGCACCTGGAATTCAGCTACTGTTTTAAAGGGGAACTTACTTGTAGGACCTTAGCATAGTCAAGAGCTCCATCACCTGCTCCAGAAGGACTATCATCCACATGGTAAATCCTGAAAGAAACCAAGCAAATATTGCACTGAAGTTTACACTGAGAAAGTGTACAACAATTTGGGAGAACTTATTCAAATAAGAGTTTTAAATTCCAATTGTGACTCCTAACATCAGCATACTTTCATTTTATAAAACAGATCTACCGGTATTTACAAGTAACAAATTATTTCAATTGTATTTGCAATTATTCATAAAATGGTCATTTTAATTCTTTTTAGATAAACATTCCTTTAAATTGCTTTTGCTCTTTTGGTGACTACATGGACAGAGTCATGCAAGTTCTTGGCATCAATGTGAGTGTGATTTTCTAAATCCTTCTCCTAGAAAGTATTTTTTCTCTTGCTAAGATTATTAATCAAATGTCATAAAATAAAAAACCAATGGACAAACCTTTCCTTGCCTTCTTTTCTGGTCCGTGCTACCTGATTAATTTCCATTGCTGTGAGCTTCTTGTCTACACGGTATTGCCAGATATAAAATGCTTCTTTTGAAGCTGCTATAACCTGGGTTTTAGTCATTGTAACAAACAGTGGGGCTATTACACAAAAAACACAAATTAAAGAGTCACCATACAAAGGAGATGGGTGGCATAAATACATAATAATAGATAAAATAAATAATAATTAGAAAAGGCCCATCAATGATGCAAATTCATCTAGTATCAGATGTGAACAATGAACAGTAACATTGAATAGCTTTTTGCAAAATTGTGGCTTAATTAAACATATTAGGCAGTATAAGTTCTTTTAAAAACATAAATATTTTTGTAGTCTGAGTTGTAGTTTGGAAGAATAAACATCTTATCCACCAATTCACAAGATTAGTGATGTAAATTATATTAGTTATATAAGAGGCTGTCCCTCAGCCACAGACTACATTGACACTAAGAATATAATATTGTCCATCTTTATTATTATAATGTGATCTATCTTATTCTATACTGAATATCACATGCTGTGTCAATTTAGGAACTGGGTCTAGGGAAATATATTTAAAAACAATGCAGAAATCAGAAAAGCCTAAGTAAAACAACTTGTAACTTGCAACAAAAAGTCTACCAAACAACTACTATTAATGAGGACAGCAGACTGAGAATAATGTTCATACAAACATATACAGATATACTTTAAATATTTGCTTACCAATATCTATATATTTTGGATCCAAGGGTGTACCAATGGAATTACAAAGCACAAGTACATACTAGAGAAAAATAAAAACACATGCAATTATTACAAGAGAAATCCAACCCTCTCCAATATAAACCAAGATTCTGCATGGATTACATAAAGAACAAAGTGAACAATTTATTATTTGAAAATATAAACATATTTTTAATTCACTGGAGAAGAAAAAAGCAGCAATACCTATACTTTATTAATATTACATTAAAGGCTTTTCAACTTAAAAAATAAACATAAGAGTTTAAAAGACTCCTTTTCATAAATAGAAGCACCAGTATTATGTAAAGAAAGCTATCAGCCTCTTCCTTTGTACAACAATATATAGTATATATTCTTGCACAATACAAAGTCCCCCCCCCCCAATTTTATCATTCATAATCAAAAGAAGTACAAAATCTCAAGTGAGAAAAATGAAATCACATAAAATATGACAATCTTACAAAGTGGAGGTTTTTTCAAGACTGTGTTAATTTCAAGATTTCCTCACTAGAGGCCTCTAGCCCCTTCTTCCTCCCCATTGTCCCTCGTGTTTCAATTTATTCTGGACAGAGTTAACATCAGTTTACCAGTCCACCTTGATACAGGTCACTAGGGTCTTGATCTTCAGCTTATTTAGTCCATTCTGACCCTTTAAGTCTCCCCATATGTGCCCACGTTCCCATAAGTCTCCTATTTACCCCACAGCAACAACCCTGTGAGGTAGGTTGGGCTGAGAGCTAGTTACTGGTCCAAGGTCACCCAGCTGGCTTTCACGGCTAAAGTGGGAGTAGAATTCATGGTCTAAAAATCATGTCTTTCTGATTTTTATATTACTTTGTACTTTGCTTCTTGTTTGTTTTACTATTTTTTATTATTTAGAATATCTATCATGAACCAGACTAGAATATCTGTTCTGAAGAATTAAAATAAAACAAACATAAAATAAACATTTTTTTCCAGAGAACTAAAGACAGTTGTGTAGATATATGCATTTCGACCCATTTCACCCTATGTGAGTAGATAAGTCATTTTTCTCATCTAGCAATATCTGTGAATCAAGAAAAGACAATTCCAGAAATTATAATGAACTGAGGTATGATTTATACTAATTGCATTGTAAGAAAATGCTATTTTGATAGATGTATTATTATATAACCATCACCCTATCAATTAAGACAACATTTAAAAAGAATTGTTTTACCATTCCACCAATGGATTCTGTTTCATCCTCCTCCTTTGTAAGCATTGTACAAGAGATATGAGAAATGATTTTTTTTTCAGAAGATAAAGCAGTAGCTGTTATAGCTAAGTATAGCAGAACATTCTTGCCTGAATCATTTCGATTTCTGAAGTAGATGCTATTGTATGTGGTAAAAATTTACAAATTTCTAAAATGATGTCAGGTACAGAAGGAATGGACTTGTACTTCACTGAAATCAAAAGTAGTACAAGCTGAACACTAGGAGGAATTTCCAAATGGTAAGTGCTATTATGCAACAGAACAATTTGCCTAGAAGAGTGGTACACTCTTTGCTGGAGAAAATCGGGCAGGATGAGCACCTATCAAGAGATGGTTTAGGGGATTTCTATACTGAGCAGAGGATTAGACTAGGTAACCTATAATATCCTTTCCAATTCATATGTTCTGTTATACTAGGAACAATATAGAATTTCATATTAATTCAACTATAGATCAAGAAAGATCTGTTAGTTGGACTAACAGATAAGGTTATAAAATAAGGAATAATACCTGTAGTTGATTTTCATCAGCTTTAGTAGCCAGAATGCAGAAATCTCCACAGGTTGTTATGGAGATTAAACTCTTGACAAATTTCAAATACTTTTCATTGTTTTTTATATCCCAAAAGACAACACAATATTCTGGACGGTCAGGTCGGGTATATGCATACACTACTGTGTTCGTGCAATAACCCCACTGTTAACAAAAAAAATATTATTAAAATTCCTCAATAACGTTGCAAAACAGTATGTAGAAATGTATTTATAAAGTTAACATTGACAAATATCTTTCTCATACCGATAATTAATCCGATTTAAAATTTTGAACGCTTCAGATAATTATTGTTTGTTAGAATAGTATAGGGGTCTTGAAGGAAACACCCTATCACACAAACCCCAAACTGATGTTCTGAATCACAATTCCAATAATTGGAATAGAATTTATAATAATAAAAATAATCATAACTAGTGAACTATAATATACCAAAAACCCACCCAAAAACATATTAAGCAATACAGTAGCAAGTAGATGCTCAATTAAAACCTGTTCAGGATCTGATAATATTTTAACATGTTCCTTACCTTGTAGTCTGGTCGAATATTTGCAAAATAAATACACTGATCAACAGCTAATGCTATTTTTAAACCGCCTCCTTCCCAAGATAAAGCTGATACTTGTTTCCCTGGAATCTTTAATGTACGCAAATGCTGAAATGACATCAACCATAAATTAGCCGCATACTATTAGAAGTATTTTGAAAATAGAAATAAATAAGTAGCATATTGAATATTTTTTTGGAAGTTACAGAAAGAGGTTAAATGAGCTAAGAAAAATCTTGAAAAATATTTGTCTTCATTCTTAAATTTTAAAAAATTGTATCTCCTAATAATGTTACATATTTATGTGAATAAATTACTTGAAAGTTGACTACTTCCAATGTAAACCTTACTGTTTTGAATATTAATTATAGAGCCTCTGGCTGTAAAAAAAATCAGATATTAACAGGTTTGAATAAATGCAAAGAAACCCAGATGACAAAAATATCATCTCAATCATGTGAAAATGATTGAGAAAATCACATATACATTGGAATTAGATAAGCACTCCACAGTAAAAACAACTGTAACTATTTTAAACAAAACATTAGAAATGCTAATGTTAGAGGATACAAGTCATTCATAATATCTTCACAATCACTACAACTCAATTATAAATCAAATTCTTTCTGTCCATTCATTCAGTTCACCTATAAGGATAAGTACTGTATGTTATATAAACTGGCAGAAAGATTCAGAATAGTCTCCACCTCAATCTTACAATATTGCTAATCTTCACAGCACATTTTACAGTATAAGCATTCAATTTTTTGACTTTTGGAAAACTCTGTCCTATTTGTTTTTCTGCCAAACTTGTTGAACATCAGTTATCACTTGAATATTAAAAGGAGGGTTTTTTTCATCCACATTTTGTGTACACAAGTTACAAAAGGCAGTCTGTAAGTCTTTTGGACTGGTTACCCCAGATGTTACAGACGAAAATTGGTAGTGTGGCAAGTTAAGTTTCAGGAATATTTCTCTGCCTTTACCCTATCATTTCTCACTTTCATGGAGCAAGGTTTGAACATTTTGGTTTTTCAACTATCAATATTTGGTTCTTTTATTGTACACTGAATATAGAAATAGGAAAATCCACAAAATCCATAATTTTTACCTCACCAAATGGAGAATAGAACTGCACAACATTTATATCTTTATCTTGCACAGGTATCTTCTGGACACCTGCAATAGCCAGCACGTTGCCACAGTGGTTCCATTGGATGCTCACAACACTCAGAGCCGCATCAATTAAGACAGGATCTGGTTATTGTTTTAAATAAAGAAACAAATACTGATATATAGAGCATATACAAATATATTAATGGAAAGATAATTCTTATTATAATATTTATCCCTTGAATGGAATATGGAAATGGAATGGAATATTCTTTATAGCCAAGTGTGATTGGACACACAAGAAATTTGTCTCCAGAGCATAATCTCTCAGTGCACGTACAAACAGCAAAATGATAAGTCATAGATCATAAATTATAAGACGCAATCATAAATAATAAGATACAAACAAGGGATAAATCATAAAATACTAATAGGAAAAGATGAAAAAATGAAAAGGATGAGAAGGATAACAATAGCAATAGCACTTAGACTTATATAATGCTTTACAGTGCTTTACAGCCCTCTCTAAGCAGTTTACAGAATCAGCATATTGCCCCCAACAATCTGGGTCCTCATTTTACTGACCTCGGAAGGATGGAAGGCTGAGTCAACCTTGAGCCTGGTGAGAATCAAACTGCCAAACTGCTGGCAGCCTGCAGTCAGCAGAATTAGCCTAAAATGTTGCATTCCAATCACTGCCTCACCATGGCTCTTTCATAGCAATACAGGATAATAGCAATGCAGCCCTACTACGTGGGTAAATTTCTTTAGACATAAGACAGTGCTCTGGGAGTTAGGTGTTTAACAGAATGATAACATGGGGGGAAAATATTTTTGTGCCAAGTTGTTTTAGCATGCAATGGCCTAAAGAGGCGTCCTGAGGGGAGAAGTTTATGTCGAGAATGTGAGGGGTCTTTAGATATTTTCTCAGCCATCTTTAGGCAATTAAACTTATGGTACTTCTTTACAACTCTTACCACAAGGTATGCTTACTTTGATCATTCTCATGTCTCATTATTTGGCATCTTCCATTGTCAAAACAAATGGCAAGGCAAGGACAATCTGGTTCTACATAGCCTTCTGTTCCTGGGTACCAATGGATTCCTGCAATGCTGAATGCTCCAGTTACATTCACCAAACAGTTCATTTTCATTTTCATCTATAATAGTAATTCAATATACACAGGTAAATATATATTTTCACAAATCTAATTATTGTATGATAGGCTGAAACCCTATTTAACTAACAAACGTTTAACTGAGCTTACTCGCAAGTAAGTGAAGAAACCTGAACCACATAACAATACAATCAGCTTAATATTAATATGTAAATCACAATGTTCTTTTAAAAAGTGAATTGAATATATATATATATATATATATATATATATATATATATATATATATATATATATATATAAAATATTAAAAACTTCACAAATAGGCTAATTATCAGCCTGTGTTGTGCTATATTAAATAGTATAATATATTACTTTAAATCCCTGTGATGATTGGAAAAATCTTTTTAAACTCTGCAACTGCAGATTTAAAAATCATGATTTTATATTCTATCACTGTAGATTGGGCTGGAATGCTTAGAAAAACATTTCTAACAACTGGATACTAAGGTATTCAAAAGGTGACTACTTAGTAGAATATATCTCTAAACTTACCATAAAAGTCCCATTTTTGTCATAAATGTGTATTTCTCCATTGGCCATTCCAAAGAGTAGAGTTCTACCATCTGGAGACCATGCAACATGGTGAAGTTGTACTTTTAAATCCTTTCCCCAAATACGATTTCCTTTTAAAGGAAAATAAATTCAATGCATCTCACAACTAGAACAAAACGTTCAAAACTGAAAATATTAAAAATGGAAATTTGCAAATAATTTTATCTTTTAAACAGGAATGAAAGCTTTATTTCTTTTTTTATCAATGCATCCCTCTAAGTTCTACCTTTTCAAAATTACTCATATATATATTCTTGAATATATAAACTTTGATCCAAATATGTGATTCTTTCTGTTGATAAGTTTTCTTCAGTCTTTAGTTTCCTTTTTGTGCTGTGTTGTTACATACCATTCTGTTCCAGATCATTTCATTCAACATTAAATGTATAAAAAATATAAGGGATTGTGGAAGACAGGAAGGTTCCATTCTTGGAACACAACTGTTCCTTTCACACTGACTAAATTAGGAGATTAACTGAATTAGGACATTAACTGCTTTAAGAATATATATCAAAAACGGAAATGGAATTGTAATAAAATCATATTATTTTGGCTTTATTGTTTTCCTGGTATTGTACATCCCCATAATTATACATTAACATATATGCCTATCTATATTCTAATAAAGCTAATTGGTTATTTAGAAATGATATTAATGTACTGGGAAAGCAAAACTTAAATGTGACTTAATTTCAAATGTTTCCTTTAGTAGGGAAACAAATGATAAAGTAAAATATATAGAAAATATCTTCTCCGTGGTTAGATATTGCCCAGTGAATCTAAGTTATTGAAAAATAGTGACATATTCTTTTTGGAGAGCAATCACTCCAGTGATGGTAACTTTTCTTGGAATGGAAATGTTTGAAGCGGTATATGGGAATATATGATTTAACCTCTACCGCTCAAGGACATATGAACATTCATGTCCCCTACACTTTTTGGGGTTCCCTCCCTCAGCTTTGTATATTGAACAGAAAAACTGCACAGTTGAAATAAATTTTGAATCCTACATAATCTGAAAATTAGAGTTATTGGGAAGATCTTAAATGCATTCAGCTGAATGTCTATGGAAATTCTCAGTGATCCAATTCATGGTTGTCCAAAGATGCTTCTTCAAGAGGCAACTTTCTGGTTTTTCTTTGAAGACATTTCGTTTCTCATCCAAGAAGTTTCTTCAGCTCTGGAGCTAATGGGACGAATGTGCAAGGGAATGATTTCTGAAGGAAACTAACACTATATGAGTTATTAAACCTTTTAAAAAACTGCATATACTATTAGCATAAGTAATACTTTACCGTCCACAGAACCAACAATTACAGCACCATCTTCATATATGATGCAAATTTTCTGCCCATCAGCATTCCATCTCATGCTTCTAACCACAGATTTATTTCTATTATTGATCATCTCCTCATACCAAGCACCTAAAGCCAAAGGGGAAAAGAAATCATCCATATCTTCCACACTCCTATTTTTCATCTGAACTGTTCTTGATGAAAGTAATCCAAAAGGGATTATTTGCAAACTCAGTAACTTCTATTGAGCTGGACATTGATTCATGGTTATTGTGTCACTGCTCTGAAGTTGCTCTGAAGAGCATGCCAACGCTGAGAGCTGGAGCTGGAGGTGGCAAGGAAGGTGCTCTTAAAAACTGCTCTTCCATTCCCGGAGCAAAAGGAAGTTTTGACATGTATGTAATAACATATTTTTGTTTATGTGTTTCGGATTTTCTTAAAAAGCTCATACAGCTCTAGATTTCATCTAGGTGTCTGTAGTTTTTCACACTTTGCTCCTAATCCATAGCCTCAGACGCTGGGAAACTGAATAAGATCCCCAAATATACTAGGATTAACACAACATGGGACCAAAGCAATATATCTAGATGGAGGGAAGAATACCAACATGATATTAATTTAAAAATAAATCTTTTAGAATAAATTATCATATTAATATTTTTGGAATAAATAATTCTTTTTAGAACCTTTTAGCCTGCAAAGATACAAAGGAATACTGTAGAAATCTCTGAGCAAACTAAGAATTGAAATGCCACAAATATATAATAGCCATTTTCCAGCAAGTTACCTACCTTTATACAGCATCCACACTATAATAAGTCCGTGCTCGTCACTACTAGTTAGCTTTTGATACTGTTCATTCCAAGTCACTACTTGCACAGCACCTAGAAAATTGTATAACAATACTATTGAATTACACTAGTAACAAGAAGATGATTGGGAAAAAAGTAATGAGCTTTCTATGAAAAATAAGCATCATATATAAAGACCCATTCAGACCCAGTTTGCAATTTAAGAGATTCTCCTGAACTCGCGAACAGGTGGCAGTTGTGGCTAGGAGACCCTTTCTTTGCACAGCTTCAGTTTGTGTACCAGCCTCAGACTTTCCTGGTTCAGAACTCCCTGTGCTTGGTCACTCAAGCCCTAGTTCATCTCTCGTCTGGCTTACTGTGAAGTGCTTTACATCGGGCTACCCTTCAAATGTATTCAGAAGTTTCAATTAATACAAAGTGTGGCAGCACTAGCAGTCTTTGTTACGTCATTGCTTCGTGAGCTGTACTGGCTGCCAGTATGCTTATGTTCAAGATAGTTCAAGCTGTTAGTTATGACCTTTAAAGTCCTCCCTGGTATGGAGTCAGATTGCCTGATGAACTGTCTTATCCCACTAAGACAAGCTCGACCCATTCGTATCAGCAGAGGAGGGCTGTTAACAATCCTGTTGGTCAAGGAACTCCGACTAACAGGATCCAGGAGAAGAACCTTTTCCTGCTATAGTGCTAACCCTCTGGAATCTCCTGCTCCCAGCATGAGGTCTGCCCCCACCATTCTATCCTTTTGCAAGGGCAAGACCTGGCCTGGGAACCCAATAGGGGATACCCCACTGGAGGTAGCTACTGGACTAATTAGCTGACCCCACCTCCTGCCCTGAACTTCTTCCTCTCCCTCTGCCCATCTTTTAATTCATATTATTATATTTTCATTGTTTATTTTTGTTTCATTGTTTTGTTATTGTTCTGTTTACATCCTTAATCATTTCCCCCATTTTGTTGTAAGCCCCCTAGAGTAGCCCTAGAGCAAGATGGGCGGCAAATAAATTTAACAAAAAAATAATTTTACATTCATTATAATAGGATTGTGAACTGATTCATACATATACAAATATATGTGTGGATATGTTTATAAAAATATCTGAATAATTTTATAGAATCAGATTTTGGAGACTAGAAATTTCCTTCCATTAACAAAAATCTCCACTGCCTTAAAGAAATTTACATAAATGTCCCTCACCTGCTCCTAACATCAGTTGAGCTACTTGTCTCAGGTTGAGCATAATATCTATATAATAAGGCTGAATCAAAACAAGAATTGGATATTCCAAATTTTCTCTTTTGAAGACACAATCTTAGCACTACCTTCCTTAATCACTTTTTCCTTACTGCCTAACACAAAGGAGTTCCTTTTGTTAATTTAACCCTTGTGAAGTTTAATTTCATTCTAACATCTAAGTGGAGAGCCAGTTTGGTCTAGTGGTTAAGGCACCAGGCTAGAAAGCAGGAGATTGTGAGTTCAAGTCCTGTCATAGCCATGAAAGCTAGCTGGATGACTTTGGGCCAGTCGTTCACTTCAGCCCTACCTCACAGTGTTATTGTTGTGGATAAAATAGGAGGAGGAAGGTATGTGGAATATGTTCACTGCCTTGAGTTATTTCTAAAAACAATAAAGGCAGAAAAAAAGTAAATAAATAAAAACAACAGACTACCTTACAGTATCATTACACAACTACCTTCATCAACCCACCCACTTGCCCTGGTATATACTTTGCTGTTTTTTTTGTTGCCCATGATATTGTTCTTAAGAGTAATTTAAATATCTGACTTGGAGCTTTTTTCACCTACAGAAATTACAGTAATTTTTCTGGATCAGTTATTTAAAATCTCTACCATGAAGGCTGTTTACAGGATAGTGTAAACTACAAACCAGGAAACCAGTAATTTTTAGGATATTACAGAACAATTTATGTTCTAAACATCCTACCTTCCTTGACAATGTCAAGCTTCAATAGTACACAGCGTCTTATACTCTCTGAAGATTTTTCAGCTGGAAAGAATTAACTTGAAGGCACAAAAATTTCATAGCTTGTACGCATGCCTCCAAATGATATGCTTTCCTCTGCTTCAGCAATCTCAGAGCAACTGCGAGTATCTGTTGCTCCTGAAAATGGCTTGCTAAATTCCAACCATCGATGTATTTTGTCATTTAAGGGAAGCGTCGTGACTTTTGAAACAACCACCTTCTTCCGTCTTTTGAAATGCCCCCTTTCAAAATCTTGTGCTGTTGTCAACAGGGTAACCTCTGATACTTCCTTTTCACCTACAGAGTTGTGCTGCCTGGGTACAGCGGGGCTTCCCCCCATTGTCGAACCTTCTAACACCAGAGGCTACAGAAGGCTATTTCTACAATCAATATCTCAGCTGGCATTGAAAGCTTTGGAAAGGCAAAGATTTCCTTGTATTGTCCCAGTCCTTTTAGAGGAACTTGAAGGTAATTGTATCAAATGTGCAAACAATCAATTTCTTACTGCTAGCACTTCTGGCATTTTGTTCTGATTATTCTTGCACACTGTGTAAATATATTCTGAACCACATACAGGCTATTTTGAAGTTGCAAGGAGAAAATTTTCAGTATACAATGAGAGCTGAGGTACAGGCATATTTCTACTTTATATCCTCATACATATATATCAAATAGCCCCGAAAGCATTTTGTTTTATTTTATATATAGCAATAGATATTTCCATATTATTATTATTTTATTTCTAAGCGTGTCAATTCAAAATGATATTCCAAGAAATTCATTGGAATTTATCTAGAAGAAATGGAAAGTTCATCACTGAAACTATATCGTTTTCTGAACAAATTAGTCAAAAAGCAATTTTATTTTAGTAATAACTCTTACCTGTGTGGCCCTCAAGTGTCTGATTCATTGAGAGATTGCTAGGTGCAGCAAGTCCTTTTAATTTGGCTTCATCTAAAACCCCAAAAAGCACACATCCTAAATAAACAGCATTTATAATTTTTACTATCTTGCTTTTTCCCTAAATGGTGCCCCCTTTCAATTAATAATATTTAACCTTTGTATGTTCTGCAGAAACTGATGAAGGACAAGCATGAATTCCAAAGGAACTGAATTTCCTCTTTTGCTCATTAAAAAGAAGTTGAAATCCCAAATCCAACTTCTCTTTGTATTTTTTAAAAACGTTTTAGCAATAAATTAATTTAATCAGGCCTTTATGTGTGGACCTTTCATTTATGTATTTCATTTATATATTTATTTCATTTATGTATTTATTTTCATCAACTGATGGCAAGCAATCAAGATATTGTGACTTCACATAAATGGGAGGGGGAAAGAGTTTCCTGATTTTAAATTCTTCGATTGAACATTTTAAAGAAAAATATATATTTCACATTAGTACTTATAAAGTACAAAAGAGAACATGAAAAAGAATAAAAAATGTAATACAAATGAATAAACCAGAAATTTTAAAACTTTGTGGAAGCTATAGTTTTGTAATATATCATTACTTAATTGTAAATCACTACTAAACTTAAGCTAAAAGTTGATATCAAGAATCAGAATCAGCACAATATAAATCACTGAATGGAATTATAAACTATAAGTTCATTCCATATTACTAAAATAATTAGATAATTATGTCTGAAATCCTGCCTAGCACCAAAGGATAAAAAGGATAAAAAAAATGCCCACAACAATTAAGATCTATAAAATAACATATTCCTTGTTATCAATTATATTAAGATCTTATTAGGCTTTGCATGAAAAGACCTCAAAAGACCTTTTCTGTAACCTAGAAAAGATATATCCTTTATTCATACCTTTGATATTGAATACTTCATATTCTGGGCTTTCATCATTGAGGTAATTTTGCATATAAGTAGTCTTCAGTTAACAACGCAAATAAGGACTGGAATTTCTGCTACTAAGTGATGTGGTCATAGTTTTGGTCTTCCAATGACCAAAATCAGTGGGGAAGCCAACAGGAAGTTGCAAGTCCCATGTGATTTGCAAGAGGCAGGAAATGGCTACTGCTGGGTGGAAGATGGTGTGTGACAGTGAACAGGTGGTTGGCTAGGCATAGTAGGTTTGGGAGTGCATTGTTGGGTGAATGAGATTGTGTGATGGTGCAATTAGCACCAGCGCTATAGTGTCCCCCCCACCCGATGCATGGCCAGGATGGGGAGACCAGCAGAGAGAGGCAGGTAAAGATGATCATCTGCTGGGGGAAGTGGCAGAAGTGACAGAAGTGACGGGTATGTGTGATCACAAATGCGGTTTGGCTCAAATTTTTTATCATGTGATTGCAGGGGTGCTGCAATGGTCATAATGATCTGTCACAATTCCATTTTTTTGGCACATTCAATAGATACAGAACAGACCTGAAGTGGAGACTACCTGTACTCTATATGAATAGGAAAACTGCAAATTACCTAACTCTGTTATGTAAATATACAGTATATGGAATTTTAATAAAATCCGTCTCAACAAAATGTGTCTCAAATACACTTTATATTGTTCAGGTTACAGTAGTTATAGTAAGGGTCCAAAATATTGGAAGATGAGAGTATAACACAGATTGTGGGATTGTCCTAGAACAAATAATGTGAGCAATGCATGGAGAGAACAAGATGAACAAGTTACAACACAGCAAAAAAGAAAAAAAATCACTTTATGTCCTAGGTTGTCAACAAATTTATATTGATACAAATGTCATTTACCTGTTTTTATTTCTAACTTTAAAACTTTCAGTAGACCATCTTCACCTCCACAGGCTATATAACCTTGGTCTTTGCTCCAACAAATAGATCTAAGTCTAACATTACCAGGAATTGTAATCTGAAATAAATACATTTTTTTAATAAAATGAAAGCAATAACAACACCGAAACTGGACTCTAATTGTGAATTGTTCCAGCAATTAATTTAACTCAAATCAAAGCTGGCATATACAGAATTTTTAGATACAAAATATTTTATGGAATACATATACAAATAACAAGCCTGCAACACTTATTAACAATTTCCAGAGGTCCTATGCTTTTAAACTATGCAACTCTTTCATGCAGCATATCTAAAAATAGAAATATTTGACACAATAGATAATTTTACATCGAAATCAGAAAAGTTTCTTGACCGGCAAGGAAGTAAGGTATGGCAGTTCTGAAAATATCTGCAAAATAAAATCAATATTTTAAAATTTCTCTGTTTTAATTTTTAATATAGAAAAATATTGATAGATTTAACTCACATAAACTTTTTCTGTACCCAATCATTTTTAAGAATGAGACCAAATTGTTTGAGTACTGTTGCTATATGGAATAACTTATTCCATATATAATAATATAATAATAATTATCCATAACATTCCATATTATTATGCCATATAATATTGTATAATAATATTATATCAATTAATCAATCAGAATAGAGCTGGAAGGTTTTCTAATCCAACCTGCTGCTCAAGCAGGAGACCCTATACCATTTCAGATAGGTGGTTGTCCACTCTCTTCTTAAAAGCCTCCAGTGATGAAGCACCTACAATTTCTGAAGGGAAGCTGTTCCTCACTGTTTGGAAGTTTCTCCTTAATTCCAGCTTGCTTCTCTCCTTGATTAGTTTCCATCCATTGTTTCGTCTTGCCTTCTGATACTTTGGAAAGTAAGTTGACCCTCTCTTCTTTGTGGCAGCACCTCCAATACTGGAATACTGCTATCATGTCATGTCACCCCTAGTCCTTCTTTTCTCTAGGCTAGCCATATCCAATTCTTGCAACCTTTCTTCATATATATTTGTTTCCAAGCCTTTAATTGTCTTAGTTGCTCTTCTTTGCACCTTTTCCAAAGTCTCAACATATTTTTGTAATGTGGTGACCAAAACTGGATGCAATATTCCAGGTGTGGTCTTACTAAGGATTTATAAAACAGTATTAATACTTCATGTGATTTTGATTCTATGCCTCTATTTATATAACCAAGGATTGTATTAACTTTTTTGGCTGCTGTCGCACACTGCTGGCTCATATTTAAGTGACCATCCACTAGGACTCCAAGGTCCCTCTCACAGTTACTGTAAATAGAAATTACCAAATATAATTTTAGGCTTTCTTAGTAATATTTTAATAAAGATATTAGCATTTTAGAAGGCATTTATGTCTGCTTTCAAGTTTTTTATAAATTAAAGCCACTTTCTTTGAGGAAAGGATAAGGCTATATTCCAAAGTCCTTGATTAAAGTAGAAAGTGTTACAGAAACAAACTCTAGTGGGAAACGAGGAGATGCAACATAGTTTAAGAGGGTCTTTTCACAAATCTAACAAAACAAAGACTTTATATCATTTCTTTGATCTGTTGCTTTCTGATGCATCACATATATCAAATTTGTTTCTGTACCTTATATAAAGACTTGACCCCTATTTAATATATGCTTTTTGCCTGAAGTACTTGTGGTTCATATTGTTGGGTGTATGTGTGTGAAAGTATTTGCAAAAGTATTGGGCATTCTCAAATTCAGGAACTAGGTTCTTTCCAGCTCTATGCCAACTCAGGTGCCCAAGTTTTATGGGCAAGACTATTTCCTCCACCCCCATGAAATTTGCTAAGTCTCTTCGAATTCTAGTTATAACTTACCTTATAATGCTCATAAACAGTAGTACAATGAATTAATAATGCTGTGAAATTAGTTGTCATGCCATAAATTGACATCAACAAAGAGAAACAACAAATATTTGAAGGAAATGTTGTAGAATGTTTTCCCCCTACAAGAATCATGAAATTGAAATATTGGGGAATAATATATATAATACACACACATATCTATTCTCTCCATAGGCATACACATGCGCCAACATAGGTTACGTTACACATTGTTGTGAAAATAAAATTGGGGTAGAGACGCCACAGTGAACACTTTGGTAAAAATATAGGAGAAACATATAGTTCATTCACACATATAAAAAGAATACGTTCACATCTATAAATACTGTGAAGGTTTCACTTATTGTCAAGGATATGGATCCAAATACCCAGCTACAAAAATATGACAATATACAGTTTAGAAGTATGAATATTTCTACAGGTAGTCCTTGTTTATGACCATAATGGAAGCCAAAATTTTTGTTGTTAAGTGAGACATTTGTTAAAGTGAGTTTTGCCCCATTTTACCTTTCTTGCCACTGTTAATTGAATTATTGATAAGTTAGTAACCTGGTAGTTAAGTGAATCTGGTTTCCCCATTGACTTTGCTCGTCAGAAGGTCACAAAAGGGGATCACTGAACCTTGGGACACAGCAACAGTCCTAAATATGAACCAGTTGCCAAGCATCTGAATTTTGATCCCATGATTTACAGGGACGCTGCAATGCTCGTAACTGTGAAAAACGGTTCTAAATTCACTTTTTTTTCAGTGCTGTTGCAACTTGGAACGGTCACTAAATGAACTGTTGTAAGTTGAGGACTACCTGTATATAAAGAGGCAAGGTTCCGACTGGAAGCACAAACTCTTGCAAATCCCTTCTCCTCACTGCCTTTTAATCCGCACTGGGATTAATACATTTCAGGCAATTTAGAGATTAAATAAGAGCAACAAAGTGAAGTCCAAACTGGAAAGAAATCGTTAAGAAAAGTTATTTAAGGGAGAAATTCTGAGCGCATCCCATTGGCCCCTTCGGATTTAGACACCTAACTTTTAATCATAATCATATAACAGGTAAAAGTATAAACATAATTTGAATACATGAAGAGAGTAAGTAAAAAGGAATATTAGGACAGGGACGGTAGGCACGCTGGAGCACTTTTCCTGCAAAAAGAGGCGGGGATAGGAGGGAAGGCGAAGAAACCACAGAAAAAGCACCGATCCCACCTTCTTGCTCAAGTAGACAAACATCCTGCCCGCTTTTATCGCTCCTTGTCGCTGCGCCTCCTGGTCCTCTGCGCCAGCGGGATAGGCGCTTCAACTGGCCGGAGCTGCTGTCTCCATGACAACAACGGGCGCCGGAGCGCGGCCGCCGTGGCAACCGACCCTAAACCGGAAGCACAATAGGCGAATCGCAACGCTTCCGGGTTAAGGGAAATGGAAGGTCTGGTCCCTTTGGACCGTTAGCGGCCTTCTCAACCGCCGTTCTAGTGGATTGTTCTCCGCTGGGGGAATGGAAAGAGCGGGGTTTTCGGTGTCTTTTATTATCCTTTCCTTGGAAGCTAAACGCTTTTGAGCTATAACGAAAAGAGAAGCGCCGAAAATAAAAAGATCGGATCCTTGAAATAGTCTTTGTTTCCTGCGAATTGGGCAGGATGAATAAATATTACATTTATATATCGCCCAAGTCCCGGTTGTTTTTCCAGCGGTGGCCACTCTCAGTCTAGTTGTATTTTTGGACTCAAATCCTATTCAAGCTCTGAGTATCTTTTAAAAACAGCTGAGGCAGAAATTCGATAGGAGTGCATAATTTTTTGTCCCTAACGCTCCTTTCTTTGACCTTCATTCCAAATTTGGAGGAACAGAACCTTGATTAGGGAAAGTGTCATGTTGTTGGTTTGAGGCTTTGAGCCAACAACAGGAAAAGTTTGGATGGGTAGATAATATTAATTAACCCATATTCATCATTGCCCCAACTCTTCTGAGCTCTACCCACCCCCACCCCCACCCCCACCCCGGTTTGTTTTTCCTTAGCGCCAAGCTGATCTTGAAAAGGTTAGCCCTGGTTTGGAAGTAAATGGGAGACCCAGTGGGAACACCAGGGTTAGACTTGAGTATTGAAAAAACGGAGGCAACCAATATGGATCATGTTTCCAGGAATTGGGGAAAAAATAGTAGTGATCACAGAGAAACGTGCTTTCCTCTGCACGGTTAGAGCAGAATCTCAGAAGGCATGCTTTGCTTTCCTGATCTCACTTGATTAGTATTAGACCTTGCAAACCACCTACATAGTGACGGAACTGCTGGTCTTTTTAGGAATATTTTAAAAATGGGTTTTTTCCAGCAGCTTTCTCATTTGAAAAATTTGCCATGCTATAACTCACCCCCCACCCCCTAATAAATCTTACACTTACTTAACCTCATTGCTCAGAGAATCATTGGTTGCCCTCCTTTCTTTTGAAGAACTTTATAGCTTCCTCTGCCTTAAGAAAGTTCAAAACATTCTTTTTTTAAAAAAAAAAAGTTTTTTTTTTATTTTTTAGACAAACACACATACAAACATACAATATATTTTCTTTGAACAGAGTATTTGGCCGGTTCACAAACAGCTGCTATCCCGGGGCAGTAACTATATTGAATTCTATAGTGCAATATTAATGCAATATCAGTTTTCAATTCAATTGTATAGAATGTGAAGGATGTGTGTTTGTGTTTTATTTTTATAATTATAATGTACACTGAAGATGGCATTTAATTTCGTTGTACGAGGTGCAATGACAAACTAAACTAAACTAAACTAAACTAATGAATTCAAAGACACTTGTTGGTCATTTTCAGTAGTGATTATTAGGGAAACCTGACAATATCAAGGATTAAAGGAAGCTAGCAAGAAAAGCCTTTAGGAGAAAGACAGAAAGAAAAAAGAACGGTCTGGGGATCAGATTGAATCTGGTTGTTATTCAGTTTGCATGTTAAGAGTTGATTTTTTTATTTTTTTTTTGAGTGGGGATGCAATTTTGCATACAAACATCCCTGATTCTATTCAGCTATAAAAGCCAAATGTACTTCAAGATTTTTTAAAAAAATCTGGAATTCTGAATCCTTTTCTTTCCCACTCTTATTTTTTCCAGCTCAATGGAATATTATAAACAAAAATATACAAAGGTGCTTTTATAAAGAATTCTTTCATTTGAAGCCCTTTGAATCCTTCACATCTCAAAGTTGAATTGAATTGAATTTTGGCTAGTTCTCACATGTTCAGTTAAGCATGACTTGATTTGTTTAGGGTCTAGATGATAAATTGAGACTTAACTGAAGTCCAGTTATTTATAAACAACTTTTAATTACTATAAAATAATAACCCATTGATGTCAATGTGACTCTTAAAATGTCTAATATAGAAGATCAGACATTTTGCTCCCTTATTTATAATAAATCATTTATTTTTTGAATGCATGCAATTATCAAATATGCAGAAAATTGAATTTATTGCCCTACCAAGAAATACAGGTTTATCTAGGACTTTAACCTAGTTGTACCTAACTAAAGCATGAACATGCTCGGCATCATTTTGCTTTTAACTTGTTCTCAGCTCATCAGTGAGATCTTAAAAGTGCCTTAGCTGTATTTCCCTTTATTCTGACACTGTCCAAGGTCAGACACTAAAAAATTATCATTATCATTAATTATCTTGGAGGAAAGTCAAATGATTGCAGTAGCTGGGAATTAGTGTGAGGCAGAATATGGATTGGCAATAGAGAGCAAATTTCATGCCTCCATAGTTTTCTGCTGACTTAAGAATAAATAGATAGCACTATAATTAAGACATCCAGCCAGTTTGGTGTAGTGCTTGAGGCATCAGGCTAGAAACTGGAAACTATGAGCTCTAGTTGTGTTTAGGCATATACTAGCTGGTTGACCTTAGGCAGTCACTTTCTCAGGCTGGGGAATTAGGCAATGCCAATCCACTTATAAAAATCTTTGCTAAGAAAACTGCAAGGATTTGTCCAGGCAGTCTCCAAGTATTGGAGATGATTGAAGGAAAGGGGGAAAAAAAAGGACAAAGGCAAAGCCTATAGCGGTCCATTTATTTTAAGCCAACATTGCAATCAATTGCCTTACTAATGTTCTTCAGCTAATACAATAAGGATGTTTAAAATTATTAATTATATTTCACTGGAAAAAAAGAATATTTAATATTAAATATCACAAGACAAGGTCTCATCAGTCAAAAACCACCAGATTAATAATAACTATAGAGTCCCTCTGAGGGAAATTGCCTGTTTAGAAATATGAAATATAAATAAATGAATTGCTAATTCAGACATCAAAGTAAAGTATGCTTTATAAAAAATCAGGAAATAAAGATTTCACATGCAAATGATGTGTAGAAGATAAATTTAACACAATTTTAGACACAAGATGATCTTAATTAAACCATGAGTGACATTTATTCAGAGTCACTCAAAGAAACTTGGTATTGTATTTTCAGTCATTATTTTCCTTTGAACTGATCGATTTTTCTGGGTTTTGTTTGTTTGTTGCACCAGTGATAGTGGGAAAAAAGGGCATGAATGAATTGCTGTGATTTACAGTTGATGTAATTATTCTAATTGAAGCCAAATGCTGCAAATTTTCCTTCCCTTACATCGAGTTACATTGAATTACAGCTTGCAAGGGCTACTTGGTCTGCCTAGACTAGAGGTTATTCTAAGTGGATACGTAATTCAGGGGCCCAGGATATTCTCACAAATTTCTACTCACAGACTTCTTTTTTGGCTCCATATTACATTAGGTGAGTGCAGTCCTGAGATCAGAAGGTGTACAGCACTTGGAAGAACAGCAATGTCTGGCATGAATAACATCCAGAAGAGTAAAGACATCAGCCTCACAAACAAATGCAGATTAGTTAATGCAATAATTTTTCCAATTGCTACTTATGGCTGCAAAATGTGGACTCTGAAAAAGGCAGATAGGAGAAGGGTGGACGCCTTTAAACTGTGGTGCTGGAGGTGACTATTGCACATCAATATTATTGATGTGCAATAGTCAATTATTGATTATATAGTCAATTATTGATTATATATTAATATTATATAATATTATTATTGATCACTATTGCACAATAACAAACAAAATCCTAAAACGAACATCACCCAAAAAATCACTTGAAGCCAAGTTCATCGAACATAGGCTGTCATACTTTGGTCATGACATGCGAGCTGACTCACTCGAAAAGTCAATTGTGCTGGGAGTGATCAGTGGAAAAAGGAGAAGGGGCCGCCCTAGTACCTGCTGGTTGGATACTATAAAGGATGACACTAGAATGACCATGGTGGATCTGAAGGAAATGGTGCGAGACAAAGGGGCACAGAGAATGCTGACCCATAGAGTGGCCAAAGTTCAGACATGATTGAATGGCTTACAACAACAAGAACATTACATTGAGACCTAATGAGCTCATCCAATATCTTGAATGAACCACTCTCTGCACCGCGTCTGCAGTAGGATTCAGTTGGTCAATTCCTTAGAACAGTCCTTTCAGACTTTCCATTTTAGCAGTATGTGAACTATTAGTCATCCCTGTCCTCCAGGGATGTTTATCAAATTTGGCCCAAAGATATTTGTGGTACCAGATTAATCCTAAAATACCATTTACCAAGTCTGGCCCCCAAGATATCATAATAATAATTCCATTAAATTGCTTCCTAAAACATCTTAAGAATGTCTCTTCCTCAGTTACACACATCACGTCATCACACATGGCCCCAGAAGAAGAAACAGGAGTCACCTACAACACAGTGTAAGGATTGCAACAGCCACTCCATAGCACAAACAGCCAGAAAACTAGTAGATCCCATCCATGAAGACCAACTAGCAGTAAGAAGACATGATGAAAACTTCTTAATTGCATAACACATGGACAAGATTAACCAAATGGGAAACTGATCATCCTAGATCAAGCCAAGTCCAAAAACTCTAGAGAATTCCTGGAAATGTGTTTCTCCTTGCATTAAACTAAAATGTGGGTGACTAATTTATGGTTGTGTGCTCAATGCTTTATTTGCTTTAGCAGGGTTTAAACCTTTGTTTGAACGTAGATCCAACAAAATCCAACAAAATTAAAGAGAAATAACTCTATGCATGTACAGTATGTACTTATGACTCTATTGAACTATATCAGTTTTAAGAGCCACCTCCTCTTCCAATATTTAAATGAAGTTGATGCATATTGTATTCTTTGCAAGCGCTCATTCTTAATCCCTTCTGATAGAAAAATGACTAGCCTTAGTTCTTTGAGGCCAATAAATCCTCTTTTAAAGCAACTGCAGAGATATAAACACATACTTTGCTTATTTTATGGAGAACCATAATGTTGAT